GGGGGGGGGGGGAGAGTAAATTAAACTGAAATGGTACAGGTGACTATTTCTTTTGGATTTGACAGAGTTGTACATTTATTTCGCTATGTAGAAATTAAAATCTATATGACACCTAACCTAAACTGCTTTATGGGCAGGCAACCTTTTACGCTCAGGCGATCTCAGAGGGTACCAATCTATGGCAAGAATGTACACCAGACTCGCTGCTATGCCAAAGAAAGGATGAGAAGTGGTAAAGCTGTGAAAATGTCTTAATTCTTAAGTTTGTTTTAAAATGTTAGTAACTAGTACACTAGCCCATCCTCGTAATAAAAATCTAGAAGACACTACTTGTTTGGCTGTCAACCATTCTGATGGCATATTTTATCTAATGCAATGGATTGTTGTAACAATCAAAATTTTGGTCTCTGGAGACTTATCAAGGTGAGCTTTGTCTCCACAGACGTGATATATCTTTCCCGTCCTTTAGGTTTATGTGAGGATAAATCCAATTACTATGATGTACTATGCTAGTTAGTGGAAGAGTATTCGAAGCAAGTGAAAATTGAAACAAAACTCAAACTAGAACTCATTCAGAGAAGTTTGATGGCAGACACATCATGCAGACTCAGAGCGGTCAGGACATTATTACAGAATACATACCCATATTTCACGAAAAAATAATAATAATGAAACAGAAAACACAGATATCATAACCATACAAAATCACTTTTTGAAGTAACTGTCGAACCAGTCACTTGCTTCTTTGACCATCAACGGTGTCATTTGGTGGCCAATTCCAGGTTCTGCGATGAGCTGCATTTTGAGGAAATGAAGCATGCGTTAAAATGAGCAAAAGTCAAATTGGATAATCGCCAAATGATCCAGACTAATACATACCTTAAAATTATCTGCATGATGTGCCTCTCCGTAAGCCTTGGATGCCCATTCCTTGGGTATGACCAGACCATCAAGTGGGCAACGGGGATCTTCGGCACCTGACGATCAGGAAATACGTCTAACCACATAAGACAGTCTGAATAGGAGAAAATTGAATCATCACAGACAAAACATCGAGGATCACTGGCCCTATGGTCTATTGCATCTCCAATAGCATTCCTCAAAATAAGTCATTTTATCACACACATATTTGCAAGAGTTGAAGGGTGAAATTAACTTGTTTACTCCAAATTTCCGAAAAGACACTACAGTAAATATGATTATACCGTTTAAAATCAGCAAAGGGCGTGGTGCAATAGCTGGAATAGAGTAAGGTGAATCAAAATCGGAGGCTAGTCCAGGAGCAATCCTGTTCCAGACCTGTAAAGAAGAGTGATAATGTAAGATTAAATCACACGTCAGAGATCAGACAACAGCACAAACAAGAAAGCTTTGTTAGGGTCTGAAAGACAAATACAGAAATCTTATTGAACATGTTTAGCTGAACTAGAATACTGGGTCTAGATATCATCAGCCATTGGTCTGGTGATAGGGTTATCACAGGTCTAGGATTCAATCCGTAGTCCCTATGCAACCCCCCCCCCCCCCCAAAAAAAAAAAAAAAACTTGATCCAGTTTCAAAGAGCAGAACTGACGATGACAGCAAGATAACTTGTTAATAACTTGTAAAAGAGTATTTTAACAGGCTAGGATCTTATCCTAGGTAGATCGCAAGTATGGAATTACATTAATATCACATGCGGAATTTTAGGAGATTAAATTCAAAAGTTTAGCATTTAAATTAAACTGACCTTCTCCACCAGTTCTTTATCAATTTGGCTCTTGCCTAAGTCAATCCTTGCTTCTGAACAAAAATAACTAAGAGAATTAGAGAAAAGAATGCCAAACTGTGCTTATTTAATATGGAGATGTTATAGGATGCTTAAACAAATAGCTAGGACACACTGGCCTGGGTCTATCAATTCCTGCCGGCCCAAAAAAAGAATGAATTCCCCATATATTTTTTTTTACTAAAATGTGATCCATAATAACAAAATTGTAGTATTATTGTTTTTCCCATTGCTGAACCAAGCCAATACTTTCAGATTGGGCTTTAGCTCTGAAGCTCCATTTAAGAAATTTCAGCTAATTTGACATCCACATAGTTCTTGTAACCACAAAGAAAAGTTCAAAATAGCTTTATATGCATCTCAACATTATAGTAAAACATAAACTGGGAGTGGCAGAACTAGTTGTACTGAAGAGAGCCTTTTCCAAAGAAGCAATCTGCACTTTACCTTCAAATACAGCTTTTACACTTTCAACTCGAGCCTGCCACTTATCATTTTCAATGGCCCATCTAAATCCCTGCAACCACATGAATGAATTGAAGAGTCAATTTATTGCTCAAAAATCTATTTTCTTACACATTCTCAATTATCAATTACCTGAACACCAATTATTGGGGCAGCCACTGTATAACGGGGATCAGCAAAAGCACCAAACCAAGCATGCATTCCTGTGCACACTTTTATCAGTTTGACATTCTACAGTAAGAAAATATTTGTACTTTCTACCATTTAGATTCTAGTCCACCAACCTCCAAGTGATTCACCAGTGATTCCAATCCTAGCAGGGTCTATATCCTCCCTTTGTGTTAGATAATCTGCCAGTTTTATCAAGTCCCACACCTGAAAGATTGAAAACCTTAGATCAGAAAAGAAATTGGAAAATAATCTACAGTATATCATTTTTTATTTTGGCCATCTACAATATATCATTAATTTCCAGGCTCTTAAAACTGAAGATTTAAATAGCAATGCTTTGTGAATTGTAATGATAATACATCAAGAAGAAAATAGCAAACTCCTTCAGTTTCACTTTTGAACAACTCAAACTTTGTCACAAGCAAGTAACAAACTAGAAATTTTCATAAATATAATGGAAAAGAGAATGACGCAATTACCGTATCAAATATGAATGGCATTGTATCACCTTTTTTCCACGATGACACTAGAGCCTGCAATTCAGTAACATGGTGTCATTAATATCATTTGATAGCAACTTCCTAATTGAGGGAAACTAATAGTACTCAAGGTTCTGCGGCATTCTCATTAGGAAGCATATCAAGTACTTGTGTTGTCAATGTACATGTGTAGGGTCATCTCACACTCAAGACAAACTTCTCTACTAAAAAGAAATCACTTTCTGTAGAGGTTTTTATTTTTCTTTTTTTCTTCTTTTTTTTTCGAAATAAAACCCAAAAACCTTAGATATGAATTCAATTTTCTTTAATCCAAGGCAGAATATATGCCAAAATATAGAATAGAACTTGTACATGTTAAGGGGAGAAAAAGGTTGAATGCAAATTACACACATCTCGATATGTGGTTAGACTACTCGCACGTTCACCATGGTAGCGAGAATCAACACCAATGGCTACATATCCTCGTGAAGCATATGCCTGGAAACAAGATGGGGAGGATTTTAAAAATGATAAAGTTAATCTAAGCTGATTATAGCTAATAAATAGTGTCAAAAGAATTGACAGGGATAGCTACCTCAAGCAATGGACGCAGCCACTCCTTGCACTTATGCGTACTGTGCAGGAAAACAACAGCAGGCCTTCTTTGCACATTGATCTCCTTAATACTTAAAATTAACAAAGGTAGGCGTCCTTGTTCTCCTTCCTATAAATGAGATGCAGTGAAATCTAGTGCTTCTCATGCTCCATATAAGTAAAAATAAGCATATCATGAACCATGAGGATTCTGCATTGAAGCTACCATAGAAGCTCCCAAGAAAAGTTAAGTAGATCATTCGAGACTCAGACCTATATGTACTTTATTGACTGACATACGTTCTATAAATGAAATTTAGAAACACGAATATCCTAGAATCAATCCAATCCAATTCAAATCCGAATGCCATGAGACTTCACTTACCTCAGTAAACAAGTAAAGATTTTCCTCTTTGAGTTGATCCTTAAGATTTTCAATATCAGCTTTTGGACAAGACTCCATTGCCTAGTAAAATGTAAAAGAAAATTAATAAGCAAACTGAATTCTGTAGGCAATCTCTCAAAATACATGTTCCTAAAAGAAATCTGAGTGCAGAAAATCGAAATCAGTTCAAAATAATGCATAAGGCTATAAGGCCACTTTCAACAATTAGTAAACAATTTTAGTACTGAAGAACATTATTCCATTCAATTCTCTGCAACACAACAAGAAGATTTGCAAATTTTCGGAGAAGAATTTCACCTCACTGAAGGTTGGCGGAGAAGCTTCCTGATACAAAGGTTTAAGCACAGGTTCTGCTTTTTCCCACCTTAGGCGAACTGAGAAAATTTAAAGAATTCTCAATTATTAGAACACTTCATATTTCATATCCAGAAATCAACTTGCCGATTAAAATTTAAAAAAAAAAAAAATCAGAAATCCGTCACTTCTCTTTTCGCAGACTTTCTCAGCAAACAAACAGAGAATCAAACAAAAAAACTTCAAAGTTTATGGATTCTCAGTTCTCACCTTCTGCAGATCGTCTGCTCCGCAGAACCTGAAGGAACTGAGATCTGAGCTGCTCAGCATCGACGATGACTCTCTCTTCCATATTTCTCACGGTACAATTCTCGATGGCTTTGGTTACGGTTCGGGTCTGGTATTTATAAGAAGTGAGTTTTGGCGAGTAGGGTCTCACGTGTGAGACGTGGCACACGTGTTTCGTCATCACTGGGAAGATTACTCCAGTAAGTGTAGCGTGTAGGAGGAGAGACTGAACATAGACTGACATTTCCACCGACTTTCTGTTTCTGCAAGTTTTGTTTTTATGCATGAAAAGGATACCAAAAGTTAAAATACCAATTTGTTACCTCAATTTTTAAAATTTATATTAAAATTATCTTTAAATTTTAAAAATATCAAAAGCATCTTAAAATTTTAATTTTTAATATCAAAATAATTCTTCTATTAGTTAAAATATTACGAGACTTATTATTTTATTATCAAATCAGCTTTTTTTAAATATTAATGATATGTAAAATTCACTAATCATATTTTATTATCATATATATTTTTAATTACATATCATATTGATATGAAATCAAAATTAAATGACTAAATTAATATTTTAATCAAAGTTAAAGAATTAAGTACTTATCTTCAAAGTTTAAGGACTAAGTTGATCATGAATTAAAATTTAAGAATTATTTTGGTATTAAAAATTAAAGTTTAGAAATAATTTTAATATTTTTTAAAGTTTAAGTATAATTTTAATACAAATTTAAAAATTAAGAAATTAAATTAATATTTTAACCAAATAAAAAATAAGGAACTTCTGTTTTACTATTTCCATTATAACGTGCTCATAGTTTATTCTCTAAGATATTTTTTTAATAAAAAATAAAATAAAAGAACCGTTATAACAATCATGGTGGAAACGTGGCAGCTTTGGAGACCGAATTATTACATCAACTACTTTTTTATTCTATCTTGTCCTCATGTTTGGCTGCTGAGAAAATTCCGGGAAGGAAAACGAGAGAGTGTAGCCAAACCTATGGTATCACCAAGTACTGCAAATATGAAAGTTGACAAAACCCTGAACTAGAGAGAAATTTTGTCTGAATCAAAAACGAAAATGGAAGGAAGCTCTCTGGATGAAACAATCACGAATGAAGCCTTATAAGGAAGCTTCATCGGAACTCCGGTGGAGTTATAAAGATTCCTTTCATCATACAAAATTGCCTTACATAAATTAGGTTTCATGTTGAAATCTAATTACATTAGCAAAGAACCCACGGAAATTTCTAAAGGTAGTATCAATTAGCATGTAATGTTGTGAGAAGTAATGGGTCCTTGAATCTTATTAGATGGGACCCAAGTATGCCAAATATTGAGCACAGTAACACATATGGACATGGTGGTGGCATGCAGATGGTTGAAACTATTCCTGTTGCGTATTTGAGTTCTTAATCTCTGCGTCTATTTTTACACTGCCAATAGGCAATCCCATCTTTAAAGTCATGCTGTTAGTTGGAGCTGAAGAGATTGCAGTGGAAGTCTGAGATATTTCAACGGTTGCAGGACTCCAAGATTTCACAATGCTGCTTCGCGATTGATTTAAAGACTTTATGGTGGGATTGTCTGGGGGAGAACACATTGACTCTGCAAAAGGGGTAAGGAAAAGATTTTTTATTTTTATTTTTTTTCCTTTTAACTACATTAAATAAAAAATACGTAAGAAAACTCACTGTCCAAATAAATCCACCATTGCTCGTGCTAAAGCTAAGAAACTTACGTTTTATGATCCCTCGAGTAATGAGACGGTCGAGAAAGTCCCGCAAACTTGTCAAGACAACCCTTTCCTGCTCTGCATAGATCTTTGTGCGCTTATGGTCATTCAATGACTCCTTGCCCATGTTTTGACAATGGCCTTGCAATGCAGTTGGTGATGGAGCTGCCATAAACATTGCATCTTCTTCATCACACATCAAGGCACGTGTTCCAGGAGACAAAGGCCTTCCATTTTCAACATCACCCCGGTTTGATCCAGAGTTACCATTTCTATCAACATCTGCAGTAATTGAATCACTTCCTTTCTCACTTGTTTCACTTGCATGAAAACATGAAACAGCAGTTTCAACATTGCAACTCTCTCTTTGCATTTGCAGATCCATTTCGTTATTTTTCCCTGGAAAGTTAAGATTGTATTCAATGATTATACCTTTCTCTGTCTGACATGAAGTATTAGTGAAGTTGTTTTACCTTCTCCAAGCACACGTGGATTAGGTTCAATATCATAAATCTTGGACACAGTAACCATGTTGAATATTTGTTCTCCTAATCTGTTGTACTTTGTCAAAATGATTTATGATGACTCATTTACTTTTTTATTTGACAATCTAACTAGAAGAATTACAATTAAATATGTCTCTATTGCAAGATTTAAAGTAATCAGTTTGATGCAGATTCATTGCCTGAATTTATCTATACAATCGCAGCCAAAAAGATTATTAATACAGTAATAATTAGCCGAGGCAATCTTAAGTCTTCTTATTGTTAAATATAAATGGAGGTTTTTACCATCAAGTTTCCTCTTTTATTATTCAATGTTAAAAACAATAAAGAAAAATAAGTCCTATGAACATATAGCAGTTATTTTAGCCTTATAATGAGTTAAAAAGTTAAAATTACAACTGAAATGCAAAGAGTAGAAACTGGTCAACACTTTGACGATAGACTCCCAAGTTGAAGATCTTAACTTCAAAAATTGGGACAGGTAAAGAGTAGAAACTAGAAAGGGGTATAGGAAGGGCTGAGCTCTCCATTATTATGTATGTAGTCCACCAAAAAAAATTAATACCTGGAAGTGTCTTTGCAGCTTCTGATGAAAGTACAACCAAAACTGAGCATAGCTCCTTCACATCTTGTGGTTTGAGAACATCAGCTAATGGAGATCTTTCAGAAGTACTTAGAGAAATTAGTTTCCAAATTAAAAGGTAAAGGATGAAAGTTACATTAATTGCAATAGGAGGAAAGTTTTTACCTTAGTGTGGGTTTCAAAGATCCCAATACCACTGTATTAGGACTGCAAGAAACAGGGGCAGATAAGAAAGAAGAGTTGGCAGGAGGATTTTCCTGACAGAAATTAATGGAAAAGTTATTTTTCAGTTTGCTTTCAGTGAAGACACAGGAGACAGAAAATCAGAAAAATGAAAACAAAAGAGAGG